TTCCCATCCTCCGCCTATTAAAACAACTCAAGTCTCACTTGTTAAAAGACCCCATAACGTGGAGGAGGCAGAAAAGCAGCAGCAGCAGGAAAGGAAAAGACGTCTGGAAAATATTACCCGTTTGCTGCTGCTGCTGAGAGACCTCATTGAAACAGTTCCTTGGTCAGCAAGGCATCACCAAAGAGACTTTATCTGATGCCGAACATCTCAAACTTTCAGACACTGCCTTGCAACTTCTCCAGACTCCTGGCTAGCCGGGTTTGAAATAAGATCTTCAGCTTCAACCACGAGAAATTAGCACATAATTTATTACTTCTTTTTTTTTTTAATTATTATTATTATTTGAAAAAAAGACTCTATAAATTTGAGTTAGAGAAGCAGTGAAAGAAAAAATAAGTTATATTAGGGAATACACGTGGAGAAAAATGAGTAGGACTGATTCGCCTTAAGTTTTTTATTTTAATTATTATTACTTTTTTAAAAAAAAATCTGAGTGTCTCAATAAGTCTCTGAAAAGTGCGATTTGATCTTTTACCTCAAACTTGGAAACTGTTCAGCGGGAGCAGCGGTACGTGAGACCACACAGCTGGCTGAAGCCCCTCTATGACCAAAGGACAGAAGGACAAACAAGGTGGGTGATTTACGCTTAAATTCCCGTGTCCATCCCCCCCCCCAGCAGAAACTCCTCTCCCCTCATCCCACTATTCAGAGGAGGAAAACTGAAACGGACCCCCGAATAAGAGCGGGGTCCTGGGGGGAGGCTCTCCCTACCTTACACCTATTTTAGCGATAAATGGGGCACGGATGAGGTTTGCAGCTGTCCCCCCACCCCTTTCCAACGCGGCCCTCTCCTCGTGCTGCCGCTGCCTATAATTGCGAGAATAACTCAAAACCGAGCCGAAACAGGGCAGCAGGTCGCGAAGCCCTCCCCGGCTCCCCGCGGGGCGAGGTGAGCGCGGCTGCCGCCCAGGTCGCTCCTGCCTCGCCGCCCGCCCTGGCGCCGCGCTC